AAAAACATTCGATGCTTTTAATGAAAGAGGAAACGCCTTTTTCAGATTTCTCCGTTGTATTGTGGATGGGGTCTAAGAATTGTGTCCGGGATTTTAGCATTTTTCCGGGTGTTCCAAAAAGCGTAAAAAATCAAGTGCAACAGCATTATTATCGTGAACTACAAAAGCCTGCCCAAAATAATAACAATATCTTCACATGAACGCGAACACAGCGGTCACCATAGCAACAAACATGAAGCTGTTGAGCTGAATAGACGATGCAAGATTCTTTTCATCTTTATCATCGCCATCGTCGTCGTCGTCATCGTCTTCACCGAGTTCATCGCCCAAAGTAGTAACTGGGTCAAAAACGATGGACTTGGTAAACCTGGGAGCGCGGAAGATAAGCATCTCTTTGTTGCCTCGTTTCTCGAACTTGGGATAACCACCAGTCATGTTGCTATATTTGCCGTCACGTTTGCACTGAAATGGAAGTTAAATAAAGTTACTATATTAAGCGACCACCTATTAAGCGGCCAGTTGTCAAAGTCTCGAAATTATTGTCAGTAAAATACTGTAAATAATACCCATATTCCGGCCACCTCCATTGAGCGGCTTCAGTCATCTTTTGGCCGTCCCGATGAGGGTTTTTCTACTGTCTTTACCTCTATTAAACGGCCACTCAAAATTTAAAACCCTTGTTTTGGAAAAGTTGATGGCAGATAAGAGTACGAAATAGAAGGTGACGAGTGATAAAAACATTCAAACACACATTTATCATGGCTGTCTTCAAGTGACTCTATGTTCACTAAGAAATTAACTCGATGGTGAAAAATATTCAAGGTACACCAACCTCTATTAAGCGGCCACCTACCATTTCCCCGAGGGAAGCCGCTTAATAGGGGTTTGACGGTAGTTAAAAATCCCAAATGGATATCAAATGGATTTTAAAAGTGTTAATTAAAAATTCCAGCTGGTGGAAGGCAGAACAGTTGGCTATTTACAATGAGTAAGCGAGGAGTTGAACGTGGGACTACCAAGATCAAATACAGTTCAAGGCAAGGAGCAGGACTGTTCTATGAGTTACAAGACCAGCGCCCTAAGCCACTAAGCCAGGCTGTCCCACCTAACGTTAAGATATTTCCAAAAAAGATTAAAAATAACAGGTAAATGTGATCGTTTGGCGGCGGGAGAGGGGGGTCCGGGGGCTACTCCCGTAAATTTCCGCTAAGACTGTGCCGCGAAGGGTCTTAAATCCTGACCCCATTCAAGAATGAATCAAATTGATACTTTGTTTATGGCACAAACCCGAAAATTGACACCCTGTTCAAGGGAAAAACAAAAACTAAGGATGGCGTAAACAAGCCAGCCTTTTTTCGGAATTGAAACCAGAGTGAAAAGCTTCATACGTTGGATATATGTCAATATATTTCCTGTGTGAAGTTTTGAATAGGACTAGAGAATTTCAAATGTGTAGTTGCCCGTGTATGGGTTTATAGCGATCTCATTTCTTTCGCTTCAGTTGAGACCGACCAAACATTATTCGTTGACTCTTCCCCGATGGAAAGGTTTGTGTCACAGGTGGTCACGTTACCAGACAGAGCCAGGGTCTCTATCTTCTCGATGCTTAGGGAGGCAAAGGAGAGAGTGCCTAGAATCAAGATTGCCTTTAATTATCCACGCATATAACTGTTTTAGAAATTATGTAAAGTATATATGAAATAATTCATATTTGAACTGCGGTTGTAGATGAAAGTGAAAAATGATCATCGCAGTAAATTTTCCAATTTAAGCAATTGGAAAGAAGAGGCCTGAGCAAGAGCTTCTCCCGTTGAAGCCCTGATTTTTTTTTTCAGGCTTCTTCTTTACAATTGCTTAAATTGGAAAATTTACTGCGATGATCATTCTTCACTTTGTTTTAGAAATATTGTCTTACAAAAGCATTTAAGCGTACGCAACAATGTTGAAAGGCATTGTGGGTAAGGCTGTTTACTGTTGGTTGATTGAAGCTCAAGGATGGTTGGAAACAGCACAAACAAGTTTATTCATGCTTTGCCTTCCTTCCTTCCTTCCCTCTAGCTGAAACACCATGAGCTTCAACCGAGCTACAATAAACTACCACTACCCATAATACCAAAATGCATCGTCACTTAGGCCCGGGTCAAACGCCGTACTTCACATGAGCCGAACCCAGTGACAGTTTGGGTCGACTCAAATAATTAAAAGAACGCCTGTTTGAGTCAAACGTCGAACTTAATTCAGTCGAAACGAACTGCTACACCAAATAAATAACAAAAGCGGTTTTGTTCAGTGCTTTTTCAAGCAACTACGAAATTCTGACATAAAAGATAAATAAATTTTCTAATAGGCGTCTTCCTCGCTGTCGCCTTACCTTCTGAGCAACAGACATTTCGTCATCGTCGTTTTCGTCATCACCAAAACGGAAACGTATGCCACAATGTTTTTTCTTTTGACATGGCTGCCTCGGTCCTTTGTTCTTAAGTTTGTCTCCAACTTTATCGCCTTCATTACACGTAATAATAATAAGAAGAATAATTAATAATGATTAAACTTCTAATGATAACAAAAATGATTACATTTCATTTGATCCTTTATCGTCTTCTTTACCTAATAATAATATTTATAAATTATAATGATAATTGCACTTGTAATAACAACAACAATAGTAATAGTGATATAAAAGCATGACGTTTCGGCGGCATCCAATACAAATTATTTCAAGATTGGCAACAATATAAACAAAAATGAAAGTGTGAATTTATATTTCAATTAAATGAAATGTCTTTGCAAAAATGTCATGTCTTTATGTCGCCTCTGTTTGTTCTCAACTGTTTTACGAAATTCTCCGTTATCAGTAAAAATATTAATCATTTTTTACCATAACCGCCTTCTTTGCCTTTAACGCCTTTTTTTGCTTTAGCACCTTCTTTTCCATAGTCACCTTTGTTAGCTTAAGAGAATAATAATTAATAATAATAATAATTACTGATTTGAAATAATAATGATAGTACTAGCATTTCATTTTTACCTTGATCGCCTTCTTCCCTATAAGATTAAATTAACAAATACAAAAATGTCTCATCCTGGCTGCGCTTCAATCTTTAATAATGATAATATTAATAATTCATTGTATTGATACCTTCATTGCCTTTTCCTTTACCAACATCTTAACCTTTATATCATCTTATTAACCTTCATCGCCTTCTTTGGTCTTCTGTCAAGCGTTTTATACATGAGCCTCGCTGGGACGGATACAGAATTTTAGAGAAGGGGGTTCGAGAGACGGATCGCCGATGACTGTCCCCTGTAGGGGGTTGCGGGCACATACTCCACCGGAAAAAGGTTAAAATTGAGATCCTCGGATGGGATTCCTGGCATTTTGAGGCCAAGTCAGCTTGATCCGCCCTTGCGGCAAAATGATCACACGCATTGACGTCAATAAACTGTTTGTATTGTATTCTTTACCTTTATTGCCCCCATAATTGTCATCGTCGTCGTCTTTCCTCTTCGTCGGTGGCTTTCCTTTTCTGCTTCTCACAGTCAGTCCAATCTCGATATCTTTACCAGGCTTGTCTTTACAACCAGATGAGTTGTCCCCGCGTCCGTTGCAAAAAGTAAAGTTTGTAAGCTGCAAAAAAATAATAATAATAATATTTACATTCTTATAGAGTGCATTTCTCAACCAATGCGCTTAACACCAAATGACTAACTAAACGAAATAGAGCAAATAACTAACTAACTAAACTCAAATGAAACATTTTTCTGTGACTAAACTAAGCTCTCAAACTGTGGCGTTATGGAAGTATAATATTTCATCACACTCATACGATATTTACCCTTGTGATTTAGCTGGTGTTTTTCCCGCCGCAGCGCGCTCATTCATTGACTAGTTCATGGTCACATGACATCTAACAATGAAACTGTTTACCGCCACACGCCTTAAGCGGGCAACATTGCGAAAACTATGACGTCAAACTGGAAACAGTTCACTGTTATTCGCGAAATGTTGACCGCCGTTGCACGTGATCAGAGCGCGCATTTGAAGGTGGCCTGATGTTGTCGCTGGAATCTCAGCGCGTCTTTCAAATTTGCTGTTGTTTTTGACCCATTTGTTCGTCTCGGGAAGCATTGAGATTCTCGGGAAACAAAGTTCGCTGCTCCCCTCGGGACCAGTCATTAAGTGTTAAATACTTGTTTGAAGGGTCATTAAACTGCAGTGTTCGGAGGTAGCTGCAGAAACGTTCAAATTACACAATAGCTTAAGTGAGTATGTGAAAAAATATCAGCTGAACACAGATCAAATCAACCTTTGGGAGATCGGAGACAAAACGATGCAGAACGCCATTGCCGAAGTTATTCAAAAAGAATCTTAACAGAAGTCAGCTTAATTTCTATATTGTTTCAGAATCATGTTTACCTTTTATTGCTGTCTCACATTTTTTTTGTATGTAGAAGTATTTGTTATCTATTTTTATCTTTTTAAACTGTTTATTGTTGTTATTTTAACGTTTGTATCTCGACAAAGAATTCCCAAGACTCTATGCCAAGATTGTAGCTTGCTGCATTTAGTCATTACCATTGTTATTGTTTTTGTCATTTCTACGTCGCTCTCTCCTCATCTACTCGATGACAACAGAAAATATGCATACATAGCTTCAGCCTTCACATGTTCCCTGGGGGGGTTCTCCCTATAATGGCCTATACGGGGAGGCTCCGCCCGAAAGGGGGACCTTTAAATTTCAGGCTTCGGGTATATAAAAGGTAGGGATTTCATAAGTTGCGGTATACAGAAGGGTAGGAAATTTGTCATTAAAGTTCAACGTGAACATGAACTGAATATAAAACACTTGATCTTTTGTGGTTCACTTCTCTTCTGGTTACGCTTGATGTTCTCCTATAATTTTGTTCATCATCTTCATTCCAAGGGTTTGAAAAAGGGATGCAGTGTTCTTAAGAAGGTATGTAAGAGAGGTGTCTTTTCTCAATAAAAGGCATATGAAAAGGGTACCTTTTCTGTCAAAATGGTCTACAAAGGGTAACGCGTTGGACCTTGGGGCAGAGCCGCCCCCGCATACCCCTGGTCACAGGCTAATTTGTGAACTCTGCTGGAAGGGAAAAGATAAACCGTTTTGAAGGGTATTTTTCGATTCTAAACACGCTGTGAATCATGTGCTCAACATACCTCAATGAAGACCTTCAAAGACCCATTCTGAACAGCAAATGTATCATCCCCAAACGAGGAGTTGCCAGCGTTACAGAATGTGTAGGTCTTGATTCGAAGAGTCCCGTTTGTATCTTTTAAATGCGCTTCTAACTCGACACTAGCAGCTTTGATGCCATCAACGGTATCCTCCTTGTTCAGTGGTTTGAAAATGAAGTCTTGGCTTGCCAGGCTGTTCATGGGTTTGCCGACTGGCTTGCCGTCCACGTCAAGCTGTTTCACATGATCCACTCCTATTGTAAAAGCTTTGCTGAAATCCGGCTTCTTTCCGCCCTTACGCGAACAACGGAGTATAGCGATTTTGCCTGATTTGCGGAGAATTTTCATGCAAATTCCTCCACAAGTTTCCTTGTCGAAATCCTTAGCAAGGGCGGAGAACAGGTTGATAGCTGGAGAGAAAACAAAGTTCTTTTCTTACATGTATCATCAGGTGGGTGATAGGGCCTATTAATTACTTAAAGGAGCCGAGTCACGGTATTTTGAGTTATTTTGGCCACGTACAAAGTTACCTTTAAATTGAAGGAAACCTGGAAATAATAGTTTACTAAGATAGAAAAACACGAAAGAGATAATAATAAACCATAAAGGAACAAGGATGGTTAAGGATGGAGAAGATTGACACAGATTACAAACGATGAACTTGATAAATCTTGGGCTCAGGGCGCATCTAGGGGGAGGGTGTAGGAGGTGCGCACGCCCTCCCCCCCCCCCTTCCCTTAGTTTACATGCGGCTTTCTAATATAACTGATATGCAAAAAAGCCTCAGTGACCTTAGAGGTGCACCCCCTACTTAGAAAAATCCTGGACCCGTCCCTGGTGCTAAACTTTTTACGATGTGTAAACTGTGACCTAGCTCCGTTAAGTCAGTTTATTGTTACATTGAAAACAGATCATAAACATTTCATACGAATTAATCACTGCGTCACAAAAGTATTGCGTTTTGAAAAATATTTTACGTTTCTGAATAATATTCCTGGTCAGCCACTCTATTGCAGCCGGGTAGGTCTCGATATTTTCGTAATACGTTTATAAATGATTTAGTGTTTCATAAAGTTCACCTAATCACGCTATTCGAGTTACTTCAGGTAGCCAGGCCCCTAACTCTACTAATACACGTAAATAACTTTGTAAAATTTTTGTGACTCCAAGGGGAATAAAACCTTTTGTTTTTCTTGTTGTTGTTACGAAAGACCTTGAAAAAAGTTTAAGCCAGCTTTTTCCGAGCATCAGTTTAAAGCTGAACGAACAAGCCATACATCGAACTTTTCCAAGTTGCAATGACAACAAACTAGATGTCATCAGTTAGAGCCTTTGTGCTGGCTTGAGTCAATGTTTGCTAATAATACGTACACTTAAAAAAGTCCGAACCAACAAAACATAGTCAGAAAAATGAACTCCATTGTATGAAGTGCAATTTTAACATCACCGAGTAAATTAACGCAACGGTTGAAATTGATCCCACGCAGAAATTCGAAAATTCTGGGATAAATTATTGTAAACAACTTGACTTGAAGTGTTCCTGTCAACATTTTCATTTATGTGTTCTTTTGAACTGATTATTGTTCAAAAAATCTCTAAAACCTTTCCAGACCTAGCTAAGTTATGTAATATCGTAAAGGCCTTCCCCGGCTAATACTAAAAGTGCAGCATGTATCATACCATCGGAAAAGTACGTCCAAGCAAGCATTTCGCAAAAGAGTTGAAAAATATATCTGAACATGACCTAATGATAGCTGTGTAAGTCAAACGTAATATTTTTCTTTTGCAAACGACTTTAACAATGAAGCCGCCAAAATTTAATCCTTCGTACTTATTGAAACTCGAAGGTATTGTCGTCACTACACAAAAATAAAACTCAAGGTACAATCAGTGTTCAAGAAATACGCTGTATTACGAAGAAATTCGAATGATCTCAATGTTGTGATAGTTTGATATTGTCGACAGTTAGGTCCGAGCGATTTTATAAAGAGCTAGCCCGTGTACTCTCCCAAATATCGGCGACCTTTCAAATGTTTAATTGCCAGCCTGCTCAACTGAGTTGAAGTACCTTGCCGGACCAGAATTGTTGGCATACGGACCCTGCTTGAGAGCGAAGGAAGCTCCTGAAAGTTCTACATAGGATTTGAGTTAACGTGGAAAATTCGATCCGAAATCCATGCGCAATTTTTTATTAGATATAGTTTTCAACTTAATGTAAATTGCGAAACGAAATCTACCGACGAAAGCGGTAACAAAATGCAAAGTTGACGAGAAAACTTTGACCCAAAATTCTGTGCAATTTTAGCTAGTTTATATTTTAACGAAACTATCGAAAAAGAACCTACCGATAAAGACGAGAAACAAGAAGTAGCTTGCACGTACAGCCATGCTGATTCCGGTTCAGTCGCCTCAAAAAGTCGACGTTAAGTGGTCGCAATTTCAAGCTGATATATCTTTAACACCTGAAAAAAATGGGTGGCGTTCGTATCGACGTGAAGGGACAGACCTGAAAATCGACTTAGCAAAAAGTGATTTGCAACTGAAAAGGGGTTGTCATAGCAATTAACACAAACGCAAAATAGAATGAACGCTTGCCAGCCAAATGCAAATCATGAGACCGTTGCCCATTGTTCTTTTAAGTAATGTGTCGTCCATTGTCATTTGTTCTTTAGGATTAATGTTAACACTTAACGAGTGATTCGTATTTTGGCTATGGTATCATCGCCCTATGATGCACGCAAGATACTTGGAGAGAACGAAAAGGCGAAAGAGTATTTCAAGGCCCAGCTGAGAGCATCTTTAGCTTCTTTGATTCGCTGCCAACCTTTTAAGTGCATACATTAACTCTACAAGAATAGGTGAAGGGTATAACCTTCATCCGGTCCCTCTTGATCTCAATGATGTACAGCTAAACGCATGAATCAATAGCTTTGTGGCATTGTCTTGAAATCTGTGCTGAAATCCCGGCGGATATTCTGTTAATAAAGCGAAACCCGACGGGATGGCACCGGTCCTGCTTAATTCTCCACAGGGAGCTATTGCACCCGTCCAGAAACTGAATAACAGATAAACTTACCTCTATCGATCGTGCCTTGTGTATTGTGCTGGTCAATTTTAATTTTACATAGCGAGACCCGGATCCGAAAATTTAGGGGAGTTTGGAACGGCCGAGAAAATTCAAAAATTTTCGGAAGATCTATATTGATCGCTCGCCACCAGGGCGGGAAAAGGTCGGGCGGTGCAATGTGTAATGCTGTATGGGACTCTTAATTCTTACGGAAGCTTTTTCCACGTTTCCTGTGCCATTAATGGCTGTCAAAAACCTCCTTTCGACGACTCGGAAATTAAGTTTTTTTTTCTTTATTTTAGAGCCATTAGTGGCGTACTTTTAAAAGTTCTTTGAAAACGTACCACAACTCAATATATTTATGTCTGTAGTAAATTTGTTTTAATACATGTACGTCAGGCAAAGGAAAGCTTACGCGTACACCTGACGCCGGCAAATCAAATTCATTCGCAGTATGAAAATGAAATCATACTCTCGACCCGGCTTAGTTCAGAGAAAAATGCCCAAAAAGTTTCCTGATTCATAAATTGCATACGGCTGGTATGTAAATACAGATAACTAGTAATTCATAGACGGCCAGTAAGCGCGCTCGTGCTACCAAATTTGCGCTATATATGGGGCGCTTTCCATTCGACCAAAATTGCCGAAATTTTCGACCCGGAGACAAATGGTACGGAAATTTCCAGGAAAAAGTTTCAGATAATCCGGAAATTCTTGAATTTCCGAAAAGCGAACCCTTCAACCGAAAATTCTGGAAATTCCGGGATGAAAATCAAATGGAACGGAAATTTCCAGGAAAATATGTTCGAAAATTTGAGTATACCTCACGATGTTGTCCTCTTTTTCGGAAATGATACAAATTCGCGATTTTCTATTCAGCGTTATTTCTTTTGGCCGCGATCACAGCGAGTTGAACATCTCACGCAAGGATGGCATCACAAGGCATAACATGATAAGGCATCAGAAAATAGAAACACATCGATCTCACCAGAACACCAACTGTTTTGTCGTCATAGCGACAGAACCAGCGAAGCCTGGGAACTCGCGTGACCCTTCATTTTACCTACCTTGAGCATTTTTCTGTTGCCAAAACACTGCGGAATTGGACGTGAAGGTGAAATACCGTAAGCAGAAAAAAAAAACTGTAATGAGAAGAAATAATTGACCGGATGATTTTTTGCATTTGTAAGCCCTTTTTCTTTTTCTTGTAATTGATAACGTCATTTCAGTGATGGAAATGAAGCACGAATTTTGAAATAGCCTTGCAAGTAGCTCTGGGGTCGAGAATGCTTATGCCTGGACCAGCCTCTATCGATCTGTTTGTGTTTCTTTACGGTTAATTAATGAATTACGTATGAAATCTGCTTTCTTGCTTAATAATAGAAAACAACGTTGTTGTCAAGGTCAAATAGTTGTTCGGGAATAGGAAAGATTATTCTGTTCAAGGGGGGGGGGGAACTTTAGTTATTCAGCACTAATCTGAAAGTTTATTAAAAACAACTTAAGACTCAAGCTATTAAACATTATGAGTAAAATTTAAGAACGCTTCAAGATCAGGCTCAAATTCAATTCATCACGACCTTTTTCATTCTCTCATAATCATGCATAGCTATTTTTCAAAGGGCAAAGGCCAAACTCAACTTTTCATTTCACATGATCATGGCAATGCCAAAATTGGCTCACTGAACTTGGATGAATTTTTTCGGCAGTGGTCGTGTGTATGTTTTTTTTTTTTT